GTCTGTCCCTGGGGATGCCACCTTCATCCTGCAAGATGTTAGCAAACTCACTCAACTTCTCTGGAGTCCTGCTAGTACCAGTTGTGTTGCTTAGAGCTCGGTGCGGGGCATGAGCCCAAGCATCCCAGTGTCTGCTTCCTCAAATTAGAAGAGACTTGCTACTAAGTCAAAGGCCAAAGGCAGCTGTGTTTTTAGAGGCAGAGATAAAACTCAGGGGGTCAGCTTTCCGTCTTCTTTGCCTTTGTAAAATAAAGAGCGGTTTTCTTTTTCCATTTCCTTTTTTTTAGGTGGTGGGGAATAGAGACAGTCACTGCTCTTACTTCCTGACTCACTGGATTGATGATAAGTCATGAGCCTGGGGATGGAAAGGGGCTGGCCTGGAGTCACACAGCAGAGTCAAGGTTAAGTCGAGTCTCCTGGTTCCAGCCTGGTGTTCCGCCCCCTACCCCATGCTCCAGGCATCCTCTGCCTTCTCTGAGCCCCTCTAAGTGTGGGTTTGGGGGGAACAGTTTCAGCATGTACTCTTGCTTCTTACCTGGGGGAACTTTAGAGGAAGTCACTTTTCCCTCGTAGAACCTCAATTTGCTCATCTGGAAAATGGAGCTCCCCATAGCTGTCTAAGTTGTGAGGTGGGGATGATATTTGAATGTGTCTCAATGCGGGCAGTATTGCCCCTAAGTGGACAAAAAAAATTGATTCTAGGAAGGGGAGGTGAAAAAGTCTCACTCTTTTTCTGTGTAAAGCCTGATATACATATAGGACAAAAAGATACTTACTGTATATCTATGGTTTTAGAATTTTGTTGAGGGGAAACTAGGAAATGAAAAAGACTCCTTAAGGGGAATGAATAAAAGGTAGAGAAACACTGGTCCGTACCCCGGGGAACCATGTGGTTATTATTACTAACTTTGTGTTTGGAGCTTGTGTTGGCTGCTGGCTTCTAGGGGGAGCTGTTTGGCGTGTAGGGTCAGAAGAGAGCCTGACCCAGCCCAGACTCTGCCCCTGTGGTTCAGTGTGATCCCCAGGCATGTCACAGCTTCCCATCCATATGTAAAGGGGGTCCCGCCAGCTCCGTGAGTGGGGCCTGGTTCTCAGGCAGCCAAGATCCCGCCTGGTGGATCCGTGGGGGTCCAGCAGGAAGCAGATGGCACTTACACGAGGATGATTTGAGGTGTGGGCGGGTGTGGGGAGCCATGAAGAGGAGTGCAGGACCCCAGAGCTACTGGCAGCTGGGGCTGGTCCACTGAGGCTGGTAGGAGGGGAGGGGAGCGTGGCTGCTGGGAGGCGAGAGCGCAGGAGACCTGATGGTAGTCCGTGGTAGTCGGGAGCTTTGGTGGAGAGAGGCAGCTGACCCAGGCGACTCTCCTCCCTCCCCTGATCTCCTGCCAGGGCTCCCCACTGGCCAAACCCCATGGAAGCCGGAGGACCCAGAAGCCAGGTTGGTGGTCTACACCCTGAGGCAGGAGGCGGGGTGGAGAAGGATGGAGAATGGAATGGGGCTAAGCGGAAGCTGTCCGGAAAGGTGCCTAGATTCCTCTTCCTCTGGCGTGCAGGAGGAAGAGTGGAGTCCTACCCCAACCATCCTGCCCTGCAGCCCCCTTGCTGGGTTTCTGCCTTCGGATGCAGATAGGGTGTAGCCTGGGCTTTTTTTTTTTTTTTTTTAATCTTGAGTTTATTTGAGCAAAAATCAATTTGAATTGTGCAGTGCCAAACTGGAAGTGGTTAGAGATGCTCCCCAGGGTGTCTGAATTGAAGTTTACGGCTACTCTGGGAACACCCACGAGGGTCTTTGCTATTTATCTACTGGGTTAGGAGCTAGTGGATAAGTTCCTTTCCTCTAGTCTCAGCTTCCTCATCTATAAAATGGTGGTTGGACCACGCAGCCTCTGAGCACCTCTTGCTCAGACCCAGCAGGCAATGGCCGTGATCTGTACAGGCTGTGGGAACATCAGTCTTTTTTATTTTTAAAAAATTATTTATTTATTTATTTATTATTTTTGGCTGTGTTGGGTCTTCGTTTCTGTGCGAGGGCTTTCTCTAGTTGCGTGAGCGGGGGCCTCTCATTGTCGCGGCCTCTCTTGTTGCGGAGCACAGGCTCCAGACGCGCAGGCTCAGTAGTTGTGGTGCAAGGGCTTAGTTGCTCCGTGGCATGTGGGATCTTCCCAGACCAGGGCTCGAACCCATGTCCGCTGCACTGGCAGGCAGATTATCAACCACTGAGCCACCAGGGAAGCCCTGGAACATCAGTCTTTTTTTTTTTTTTTGGCGGTACGCGGGCCTCTCACTGCTGTGGCCTCTCCCGTTGCGGAGCACAGGCTCTGGACGCGCAGGCTCAGCGGCCATGGCTCACGGGCCCAGCTGCTCCGCAGCATGTAGGATCTTCCTGGACCGGGGCACGAACCCGTGTCCCCTGCAACGGCAGGCGGACTCTCAACCACTGCGCCACCAGGGAAGCCCGGAACATCAGTCTTGATCTTAGAGAAGAAGCAGCCTCGCTGGGCTCCTTGTGTCCTGCCAGGTGCCTCTGTGTGTCTCTTGCCTAGAGGTGTGTGGGCACACCTGCCCAGGAAGGGGCAGTGAAGCTGTGGCCAGGTGTGTGTGTGTGTCAGGGAGAGGGGGTAGTTCCTGAGAGGCTTCTGGAGGCTGAGGGCAGTGTCGCACAGATGGGTGGGACACAGTGGTTAGTTATGGAGGACGCCCAGGTGGAGGTGACGGGGGGTACTGGGGTGGGGGCGAGATGAAGGCAGACTGGGGGGTGCAGGAAGAGATTTCCTGGGGAAATCTCCAAAAAGAGTGGGTCTTCCCTATTGTGTGACTAGCAGACACCGTAGAGAGGGAGCGGAGTGAGGAAGTTTCTAAGTAGAAAGCGCCACGAGGGAAGCAGAGAGGCCCTAAGACATGGCAGTCACTGGGCTGAAGAGGAAGCTTTTCTGGAAGAGGTGACCCCAGGGCTGCCTGGTAGGCCTGAACCCATCCCCTCTGGTGGCCCACTTCCTCCAGTCCCAAAGTGGCTTTGCCTGCTTGCCCACCGGCCAGGGCTCAGCACTGGCCTGCCCTAGTGGGATGAGGGGCTCAGCTCTGTCCTTCCACCCTTCTGAGGACCCCTGTGCAAGCCGGCTGCATGGAGAGAACGGACCGGAAAGTGTAGCGCGGCCCCCCAATAGCCCGATCTGCCTTCTGGGAAAACCTGCTCCTTGTCTGTCCTGTGTGTGTGCACGTGTCCACACATCCACTCGTGCACGTGTATCTGGGGATGGATCCGAGTTGGTACGCATTGGAGTGTCTACATGGATGCAAACGTGTGTGTGTTTTCTGGGCGTGCGCCTCTGACTCTGCACCCCGGTGTGTTCGCAGGTACCAGGGAAATCTCCACCCCATCCTTTTTCCTGTCCTTTTTCTTCTTCTGAGTCAACAGGTCTTTCCCAAGCACCCCACACACACCAGCCTCCGTGCAGGGCACTGGGGGTGTGGAGATGCAGCCGGCTTAGGCGTGGGCATTAGGAGTTCCACCGTCAAGCAGAGGACACACACACACACACACACACACACACACTGTGCAAAGTGAGAGCGTAGATAGGCTACTCCACCGTCAAGCAGAGGACACATACACGCGCGCGCACACACTGCAAAATGAGAGCGTAGGTAGGCTACCCTGGCCTGGCTTTTGCTACAGGAGCCCTGAGGGGGCTGAGAGCTGGGGGCGGAGGAGGTTACCAAGGGTTTCCTCCAGGGCGTGCTGGATGGGTCAGGCTGGGACGAGCAGGAAGGGGGGCTTCTGTGGGAGCCACAGCCCAAGCACTAGAAAAGAGGCAGCCAGTGCCAAGCCCGGCGTCGGGGAACCAGGGGAGAAAGCGGCCAGGTGGACTGACCTGGCTGTTTAAATGGGCGTGCTCAGGCCGTGGCTAAGAGTTTAGAATGAGCGGTCGCCATTTAAAAATCAGAATATTTCATATTAAACGCCCCCCCACCCCAGATTTCCAGGTCCTCCTGAACCGTGGGAAGCTTTGGCTGCACTGAGCCCCCCGTTGCTTTGCTGAAATAATCAGCTGGAGCCGAGCAGCTCACCGCTGCTCCCCTTTACTCCATTACCTGCCTGGCCCTTGCACTATTCTCAAGTTTAAAGCCTCAGGAAGAGACAGTTCCAACTGGAAGCTAGAAATCATAGAGTCTCGTGTTTGAAGGGACTGCTTGTATACCTCCAGTAACAGGGAGCTCATTGTCACACATCACAAGATGTGCGCCTTGAAGTGCGGGTTTTAGGAGACCTTTTTTAAAAAAAAAGTTGTGGTAAATATATACGAAATATATACATGAAATTTACCATTTTAATCATTTTTAAGTGTACAACTCAGTGGTATTATGTACATTTACAAAGTTGTACAACTATCACCACTGTCCATTTCTAAATCTTTCCCATCACTCCAAATAGAAACCCTGTACAATCAAGCAATAACTCCCCAAGCTCCCCTGTCCCTAGCCCCTGGTAACCTTTCTGTCTCTATGAATTTGCCTATTCTGGGTATTTCGTACAAGTGGAATTATACAATATTTGTCCTTTTGTGTCTGGCTTTTGTCACTCAGCATGTTTTCAAGGTTCATCCAGATTGCAGCATGTATCAGAACTTTCATTCTTTTAATGATGGAATTACCTTCCATTGTATGCGGCTACCACACTGTGTTTATCCATTCATCTTGTTGATGGACACTTGGGTTGCTTCTACCTTTTCGGCTATTTTGAATAATGTTGCCATGGACATTTGCATACAAGTATTTCTCTGTGTCCCTGTTTTCAGTTCTTTGGGGTATAGGAGTGGAATTGCTGGGTCATGTGGCCACTCTGTCTTTAACTTTTTGGGGAACCGCTATCTGTTTTCCACAATGGTTGGACCATTTTATGGGGACCAGTTGTGTGTTGGCCTGGCCTGGACGGGAATGACAGGAGGGCCTGACTGGGTGGCTTAGATTGTCCACGCTCACCCTCTCTCTCCCTCTGTTGACAGAGTCGCCCCAAGAAAGGCCGGGCTCCCGGCGCAGCCTGCCGGGCAGCCTCTCAGAGAAGAGCCCCAGCATGGAGGCTTCAGCTGCTACACCGTTCCGGGTCACGGTAACTATCTCTGCGTCACCATCGCCACCTGGCCTGGGGTGCTGCTCTGCGACCCCGCGGCCCCCATTCCTGGAGCCTCACGGACCGGGAGAGCATCCAGCCTCCCTTGTTCTAGGTATCCGATCGCTCAGCTGCTCCCCTCTCTGTGGCTCAGCCCCATCCCAGGGGGCCACGTGGGGGCCCCTTCTTGCGAGGGAGGGGCCAGACAGAGGACAGACAGCTCTGCAGGCCATGGGGCCCAGAGCTGAGCTGGCCTGGGAAGAAAGAGGCTAGTGTGAGGTCGGATAAACGCACCCTCATCCATGCGCACACATGCCATGCTTCCTTAGAACGCACCCTTTTTGTTTCCACATTTTAATATCTCTCACATTACAGCCCGTGGTGTGTCATAATTTAATTGCTGTGCTTTTCTTTCTTGGTGGCGCATAAAATAATGCTGTATCTTACAACTGATGGTGTCTTAGAATCAACCAAGGGCAGTAGATATATCTTAGCTACTGATTACTAGTAGTCCCACCAGCACACATTCTTTTATTTCAAACCTAAATGACTTAATGGAAACAGAATCCAGTGAGCCTTAATATCTGACTCTCCGTGTCCCCCTGTGTCCCCACCATCCTTCCACGCACCTGCAGTTCTACGTCCCTTTACTGCCCCCATTCACATGTTACCATGTGCCCCTTTGTCCATGCTCTGCCAGCTGCTGGACAAGTAGACATGTTCTCTTCCCCTGGGAGCTCACAGTCTGTAGGGGAGGTCGCTATTTGATCATTTGTTCATCCATTCATTCATTCAACCATTTTTTATGGCGTGCCTGCTGTGTGCCAGGTACCATTCTTTGCACTGGGGCTAAGTGGGAGGAGCTGGCCAAGAGAGTACCAGGTGGATGAAGCCCTTGACCTTATGGGCTGACATTCTTGTGTTGGAGCTATGTGCTGTGAAGGAGAAAAGTAGACTGATAGGGAAAACCAGGAGAGCTTCCTTGCGGTGGTGTGGTTGAGAAGTGACAGTTGAGCTGGAGTCCAAGGGATGAAGAGCTAGCCCTCTGGGGCTCCGGGGAAAGAAGGTTTTTTTTTTGTGGTATGCAGGCCTCTCACTGCTGTGGCCTCTCCCGCTGCGGAGCACAGGCTCTGGACGTGCAGGCTCAGCGGCCATGGCTCACGGGCCCAGCCGCTCCGCGGCCTGTGGGATCTTTCCGGACCGGGGCACGAACCTGTGTCCCCTGCATCGGCAGGCGGACTCCCAACCACTGCGCCACCTGGGAAGCCCGGAAAGAAGGTTTTGATGGAGGGAATAGAGAGGGCACAGGCTTGGCTGTTGCCATACAGTGTGATATGGGGGTTCTAGGTGAGGTGAGAGTGGGCTGGGAAAGGTGCTCCCTGGGGACACCTTTGAGCTGGGTCTTGAAGGGTTCCTTAGGAATTGGGCAGGCAGCGACAGAGAGGGAGTTCCAGGTAAGGGGAACAGCAGTTGCAAAAACATGGAGGCTGGCATGGAAGCACACTAGAAATTGATTTGTGTGGAATGGTGAAATGCTTGGTGGGACTGGACGTGAGGGGTCTGGAGGTCAGGGTAGGAGGTGAGGCTGGGAAGATGGGCCAGGTCCGGGTCAGGTGGCACCTCAAGTCCTCAGCTAAGGGGACGGGGCTTTCCCCAGGGCCACTGATTCTCCTGCTTTTTGTGTGTCATAAAAATGCTCTCAAAATAAGAACCTTGGGTCCCCTCAAGATTTCAGTGCAGTGGGCCAGGGGCAGAGCCTGGATATCTGCATTTTTAACAAGCTCATGAAAGAGGTAGTCCTGAGCCCTAGGCTCTGGGTCAGATCAGCCTCCAGGCAGTGAGAAGGAGAAGGACACCTGTGCTGAGGAAGGATTCCTGATCACCTCCCTGGGTGAGACCAGGGCCCTTGGGAGATGGTCTCCAGCTGTGGGGAGGATCAGGAGGCTGGCACCTGAGAGACCCTGATCGAATCAGCTGACGCAGAGGCCAAGTCCTGCCCTTCCTGGACCCCCAGGGCCACAGGCACCAGGGCTGAGCCTTCAGGATGCCTTAGGGAACGATGACTAATCATAATGTAGCCCCCTGTACTATGTTCACGGTCTTACCTATTCGATCTCTTTTAAACCTTGAGACAACCCTGAAACTGATACTTTTATCACCCCATTTTACAGATGAGAAAACTGAGGCCCAGAGAGGTGAAGTCCCTCACCCGAGCTCCAAGTGCTCATAATGGTGGAGCCAAGATTTGGACTCAGGTCTCCCTGACCTGAGCGTGTTGCACCCCTAGCGCAGGAGCATGCTGCACCCCTCTGGCTGGACTGGAACCAGAGGAGGGGGACCCTTCCCCCACACCCTCCCAGAGCCCCCTCAGCATCACTTTTTACCCGCTTCCCTTTCTTTTGCTGCTCTAATAGGTGTACCGTCACACCTCGAGGTTGCTATAATTTGCAGTTCTTTAATTGCCAGCTAGGCTTGGCTTTTTTTCTGTAGTGTCGTCTTCACTATGTTTCCTGGTATGGAAACCACCTGTGGCTCAGAGCCAGAGCCAGAGCCAGCCTTCTGAGCCACCAGGCCCCCGACTCACAGTCCCGTGAGATTAGGGTCTGCAGGATGGAAAGTGTGTTCAGCCGTCATTTTACCCACTTCTCACAGCAACCCTGAGGGAGGTACCATTAGTGTCTACCAGTCACAGATGAGGGAACTGAGGCTCAGAGAGGTGAAGTTATTTGCCTGGTGTCACACAGCTCTTGAGTGACAGAGCCTGGCATGGATACTAGGATGGCCGGACATTTATTTTTTGTGTCTTTTTGCTCGGCACCTTGTCCTTTTCTGTGTGCGGCAGTTAAGGAAAGGGGCGTGAGTCGAATTTCTATCCTGGGCCGGTGCTCAGAGCTGGGGGGGACTAGGGAGCTCAGAGGTGGGGATCTGGGTTCAAATCCCGGCTCTTGCATGACCTGTGTGACCTCGTTAGTCCCTCGACCTGTCTGAGCCATGCGTGCTCATCAGTAAAGGGCAGGGAATGACTGCCCTTCCTTGAAGCACTTGGTGGACCTTTGTGTGTACACACCAGCCCAGGTCTGACCCATGGTAGATGCTTACCCCGTGAAATCCACCATTATCATCTGAATTGCATTTCCTCTTTTGGCTCCAGGACAGTAAAGATCTGGGGAGGGTTGGGGTGGAGGGCGAGGACCGGGTGCTTGGGGGAAGGTCAGATGTGCGCCTGACCTGGACCTTAGGGACAGGCTTGACACGGACCCCGTGCAGGACCAGAAGCACACCCTCTCCTCTGCAGCCTGAACTTGCACTTGCCCCCGTGTGCTCCTACAAGCCAGATCCTCACGCGCTCGCTGACTGCTGCTCTGTGTACCCCTGAAGGAACGCAGGGAACATGGTTTTGCCTGGAGGAGGCAGGGGAGATGTCACAGGATGTACTTGAATAACTGTCGTCTTCGCCTCCATTTCAAACCAGGGTGATGAGATGTCACCACCTCTCACAGCGGTGCCCCTTGGCAGTGATGTAGTTTAATGGAGAATCCCCGTCGGGGTCTGTAGGACTCACTCTATCCACCTCCTTCGTGCAGACTGAGGCCCAGGAGGGGCCAGACTTGACCAGGTCGCCACTCAGCTGGGAGGGCTTCTGAGTCTGGGCTGTTTGCACCCTCACTTGCGGCCTTTACCCCTTTTGTGAGTCAGCCTGGGACCGCAGTCACCCCACAGGGCATCGGGCTCAGTGCTGCTCCCACCTCTGCCTCTTGGAGACCCTGGGACCCTGGGAGAGCCTCAGTTTACCCTTCTGTAAAAGGGGGGGAGTGACTTCGAGTTTTGAGCATACAGTAGGCGCTTAAACACTTTGATGCGGTTTAAGGGAATGAGCCATAAAGTCCACAGACCTGGGACTGAGCCTCATGCCAGCTTTGTGACCTGGACAAGATATGGAAACTTTTGCCTACCTGGCACAACTTCCTTCTACCTACAGGTGGAGTTGGGGGTGGGGGAGTAGTTCCCCGGGGCCACTGGGTGCTAGCAGGCCTAGTGGGTGCACCCTGAAAGCTGTGGGGGGCCCTGGATGAGGGCAGGATGGGGAAGGAGCTGGGAGCAGGCGACCAAAGGGACCTCCCGCCCATCTCCGGCCTTCAGCTCTTGGGCTCCAAAGAGATGGCGAGGCTGAGATTCGAACCCATGTCTGTCTTCTCTGCAGCCAGCAGGGAATCCTGGAAGCGAGAGAGGGTCAGAGGTAGGGGAGGCAGGCAGGCAGCGAGCTGGGGGCCTGGATCTGCACAGACTGTCAGGCTGGGTCCAGGGGCTCTGCATGGACCCATCGCTCTTCTTGAAGCCCAGGGACCCTTAGCAGCAGCAGGCTGCCCCCTCTCACCTGCCACCCCATGTTCGAGGAATTCACAGTCTGATTTGGGAGTTAAGGAGATGGTGACTGTTACCGGTCCCCTCAGCCCGCCGCCCTCCCCAGACCCAACCTCCCCTGGTGTGGGCTTGCTCCCTCCTTCCTCTGCTCCTGGCCCCTCCCATCGACCTTGAGGAGAGCTGTCAGGGTCTGGGTGTGGGAGGTGGCAGAGGCTCTGGGAAACTTGACAGCCAATTGATTCTTCCTCAGGAAGTTGAAAGTGAAGAGTTGTGTTTGAAGGTTTAGCTGAAATTAGGTCTCAGGGCTATTTTTTGCGAGTTGGAGAAGGAGAAGTGTCAGGGAGGGGAAGGCCCAGGGGGCTGGTGGATGCTGCAGATAAACTCAGTACCAGTTGATTGCAGATGCTTCTAGAAGCGGGTCTCAGTTCCTTTCAACCACCCACTTTTACTGGATGCTCAATTGTGTGCACCCTAGGTGGTCCTGAAGCTGTGACGGAGGTGTGCCTGGGGTGCTGTGAGAACCCAGAACAAGGGACAGTTACCTCTCACTGGCGAGGGTAGGGAAAAATTCCTAGAGGAGGATCTTTGGGGCTGGGCTTTGAGGGATGTGTAGGAGTTTGTCAGGAACAAAGGGAGAA